GGGATCGCTACTACTACAGGTTTCCTGGCCTCGCCTCGGCCTTCCTTGATTCAAGTACAGATCCTATGCTTTCAGTAGTACGGGCCCATACTACCTTCCACATCTATCCGTACTTTCCTCAAGAACTGTCTTGACTCCACCAAGTCACTATTAATGCTACTGTTCTTTGCTACTCTCATCCTAGGATTACCCTAAGGGAAATCTCTTACTCAAACCAATCCTCAGCTGCTGAAAGTCTCCTTATAATGCCAATTAGCCATTACTTGAATACCATCACATGTGACGAGGCTCAGATAATCCTTCGAGTAAAAGACTCGTCCCCATAGCGGTTAGACTCAAACAAGAGTTGCGCAGTAGGGCCAAATCCAACACTCTGAGATTATTCAACCCTGATCACATGTGACATGACGTATTCACCTAAAAACTAACTCCCATCACTCAGAGTTCCACCAAGAACAAAGAAACTACTCAAGCAATTCTATCCTCATAACGAGAAATTGTACTAGCATACAACGCTAAGCTCATACTATCAAGCATAACCTAAACAGGCTTTCCTACTACTGTCTACTCAATACTAGCATGCAATTCTCATAAAGCTGAAACATATATAGCAGGCACATAAGACATCATCCCTAGATCCTTAGTCCTATTCTAACATGCTGTTCTACTGAAACTGATAATCATAACATAAACTTGTATGGGTAATTTGGGAGTCTTACTTGAGCTCGATTGATCGCATACACCACACCTTTTCTCTTTCTCAAAACTCTTTTCCTTTAAGTTTCTTTTTCAAAAATTCTTTTGAAAACATTTTTCATTTTGAAAACCTTTTACCATTTCCTTAGTTTGAGTTCAGACACACTCGAAGGTATGCCTGAATCCCTCAAACCAAGGCTCTGATACCAACTTGAAACAACCCAAAGTACGATCCAATTTTTTTTTTAATATTATTAAAAATCAAATCATCGCGTATCATACATAATAAAAACCATGGAATGAGTAGATCAAATGTCATAGTAACTGTGTCAAGACAAAACAGTATCAATCATAACAATATCCGAAATAAACTCCTAGGATAAAACTGAAGTTGTAGTGTGAGCGATGCCATCATCCCGAGCTCTTCCTCTTGCTATCGGAAGTACCTGAAACCAAAACTGAAAACTGTAAGCACGAAGCTTAGTGAGCTCCCCCAAACTACCACATACCATACAATAACACATAAACAACTATTGGGCCTTGCCCACTTCATCGGAATGGAGTCCGGAAACTGCATCGGACCGAAGTCTGGAACTAACCATGGCCTTGCCATTTGCATCGGACCGAAGTCCGGAAACTGCATCGGACCGAAGTCCGGAACTGACTGGGACCTTGTCCCCTGCATCGGGCTGAAGTTCGGAACTAACTGCATCAGACCGAAGTCCGGAACTGACTAGGAGCTTGTTCCCTACATCAGACGGAAGTCCGGAAACTGACTGAGCATAACATAGCATAGCATAAACATATCAACTAGCATAAACAAATATACTGCATACTGCATCGGACCGAAGTCCGGAACACATAACACAAGACATGCTTGAATCACAAAGACATCAAGCACACTGAACTACTGCATCGAACCAAAGTTCGGAACTACTGCTAACTATACGGGCCGACATTGTGGCCATAGACCCGTTCCTACTGGAAGGAAAACTCACCTCGAAACTCTGACTGTTGAGATGCTAAATCCGAAACTAGATGACTGCTGCTCCAGAACTCCCCAGCTACAATTCCCATAAACACTAAATCAGATACCGATAACTGAACTGAGGGTAAAATGACTATTTTACCCCTAGTCAAAGTCAATCTTCCTGTTGACCGGGCTCGCCGAGTTGGGTCGTCAACTCATCGAGTCTCTATACTCTCTTCTTATCCACTACTCGCTACTACTCGTCGAGTTTAGCAAAGACTCGATGAGTTCTTCTTCGATAATGACATCCAGTTTAACTTCATCCAACTCGCCGAGTTGTATAAACAACTCGTCGAATCCATCCTCATCTCATGAACACGTTTAGTCTGTGACTCGCCGAGTTGTATGAACAACTCGTTGAGTCTGTTCTTGAGGCAAGAAGATTTCTTTGGACTCGCTGAGTCTGGGCGTAAACTCGTCGAGTCCCTGCATTACTGAGTTCGTGTCCCATTTCACTGAGTCCACATCCTACTCACTGATTCCACTTGTAATCTCTCAAAGGGATAAATCTGGGGACTCGCAACTCGACTCGTCGAGTCCGATGAACAACTCGTCGAGTCGCTTGCATGACATAACTATATCGTTGATTTTTATCGATTCCAAGGTATTTAATTCATAGATCTGGGTTCCTAGAGTGGGTTTTACATGTAAAGTTTCCAACTTTACGTGCATGCATGATCAAATGAGGATTAAAAGCCCTAAATAAGCCAAAAGTGTAGATCTAGGGCTTGCATGAACGTTTGGCCTAATAAAGCTGGTGAATCTGAGCTTCTGGAGCTCAAACACAACAAGATCTGATGTTCTTCTATCTCTACATTCCCCCACTCACTAGTAGCTCTAGAAATGGCCTAAAAAGTGATCAGATTAAGATTTTATGGAGATTCAATTGAGGGAACAACAAAGGTTCGAGTTTTAATACCTATATATGCTCTGAATTGACCCCTAAAAGCCTGGATCTTCTTCTTCTCCTTTGGATCCTCCTTCCTTCTCCTTCTAAAACTTCAAAAAGCACAAAACACTCAAGGTTGCTTAGAGAATTGCTAGGGTTTCGTATGGGACTCTTTGTGGGTGAGGGAGGCCGGTCTTGGGGCACATAAGATGTTTAAATAGGGCGCAAACCCTTGAGATTAGGGCTTCATCCAGAAAAACGGACTCGTTGAGTCCCAACATATGGACTCGTCGAGTAGCCAACTTAAATCGCGTGCAAATCCCGACTCTACTCTACGAGTCGGGCTACAGACTCGTCGAGTACCCCATAAGAAAAGAAAATACTTAATTTAAATTACATACCAGAAATGGGGCTTTATAGCAGGGCCTACAACCTGTCTGAACCGCTCATCGGGCCTTCAGCCTGACTGGACCGTCTCACAGGGCCTACAGTCTATCCGGACTGCCCCGGACATCTTGGCCTTATCACAAATCAGGACCGCCTCAACCCAACCAACGATAACATGTTGACATATACATAATAGATAAACATATAACCAGTCCACAAACAACATGTAGATCTACAGATCACTACCACATGCTAACATCCTATATATCAGGATACATATCTAACAGATCTCTACAACATCATAACATACTATCATATAACAGGATATTCAATCCAATGGGTCGACCTTTGCACCTTTGACCCACAAGTACAATGAGGAAAACTCACCTCTCAATATGAATAATAGTTGATGAGGTCCCGACTCCGAATCTCAGCTCTAACCATCACCCACCCATCCAAATGATCAATTCTCAAATACAATCCAAAATACCCAAAATACATCTACATCAAAATTAGGTAAAAGTCAAAATTCCCAAAAAGTCAACTGAGTCAACCCAACTGAGTACGCCCGACGTACCCAACTGTACGCCCAATGTGCGCGTTGGTTGACCAGGCACGGGCCTGTTGACCATAAAGTTTCCAACTTTATGGTCTTGCATGGCCATTAAGTGCCCAATACCAAAGATCTTAACCTTTTAATCCATTAAGACCATGCATGAGAAGAAACTAGTGTCCAAGATTACATTTTTATGACTTTAGAGGCTCCCAAACCTCTTAAAGGACAACTAAAATGGATTAGAGTAACCCCCTACTCATAATACCGAGCTTATGGGACTAAAAGAACATAAAATCAATCCTAAAACAAGATCTAAGTAGAACTTCACCAAGTTCAGAACTTTATACCTCAAAGAGATGCCAAATAATGGTGTGATTATGGATCTAAGGTGCTTCACTCCTCCAAGATGGTCTCTGTTTCCTTCCTTTTTCTTCAAAGACACAAAACACACACACTCAAGCAAAAAATGCTCACAATGTAGATTAGGGTTTGCAAAAACATTTTGAAATGATGGAGGTTGATGAAAGGAACTAAGTTTGAGAGTTAATGAAGAATAAATAGGGTTCAAACCCTAAATATTAGGGTTTAGGACTTCACCTCGTATGCCCAACGTACACAGATGTATGCCTAACTTACGTGGCTCCACCCCACGATTCTAAAAATGGTAATATTAGCCCCTTTCCATCCACAAATCTTACATTTTAAGGACCAAAATGTAATAAATCTTAATATAAGGGTCAAAAGTGAAAGTACATCAAAACAAGATGTTACAATTTTTTATTAAGCACTAACAAAAATTAAAGAAACATAAAAAACGAAAAATATATACCATATAAGGCCTTAAAAATCAAACATTTAACTGAAAATTTATGATACTTTAAAATAAATATTTTTAAAATAATGTTATTTAGTGGCTCTACACGTAAGAGACTTTCGACTAGAGACATTCTTGTTCCTTTGATTATGTACCACGTTTGTTCGATTACGGGGGAGACTATTGACCATTTGTTTGTCAATTGTTTGGTAGGTGCCTTGCATAAGATTGCTACTCGGTGGAGTGTTCATATCCCTACAGTTTTAGGGATTCATTCGATTATTTCTTAGATTAATTCCACTCGTTTGATTAGGGGTTAAAGAAAGACATTTGATGCAGTTGTGGCTACTATTTTTTGGATCGTCTTTAATTTTGAGAATTCTATTATGTTCACCTCAGCTAATCCTTAGAACTCTTTCATATTTTATGAAATTGTGGATAGATTTTTTTTTTTTCAAATAGATGGAAAAAAGTTAGTTTTTTTTAGTTTCATAGCTTTTATTTTTGCCGGAGGTCTTCGAAAAAAAGATTTGGACGAATAAAAAAACTTCGTTTCAAAAAACTCTAAATAGTTGCATTCCTAGTAGAGTTGCCATTTTTCAATAATCAAAAAATATATACATATATTATTATTTTTAATAAACTCAAAGATTAATTTAATTAATACTTTTAATAATACAAAGATAAGAAGGTTTATAAAATAATATCCAACATAATATTGTTTCTAACCGAAGGATTTCTAAATTCTATCTTCTTTTCAAATCAAACAACAAATACTTTTTGGATTTTAGATTCAAATCCCTGAAAACCCTTAAATAATAAATAGCGATTAACCAAGATTTAAACCTAACACTGATCTTATAAAACTAACTCGTTGAAATAATTTGCATTTCTGAATCGTGATCTTATCACATCCATTAAGTGCGGAAACCTAGGTTGCGTGCGTCAATACCCATACCCACTACCGCTTTCTTTATGTTTGAGCATTTTCTACTTTTGATCCTCAACCAACTCCAGTTTTCTTGATTCGGGGGCCAAATTCCTCCGGCGATTAGATTTGTGGCTTGATGGGGCGCCACGAAGACGAAAGATTGCTCTTAGAAGGCAGACTTGTAGAGGTAATACTCATTATATCTTTTATTGATCAATTCAGTTTCTTCATGTTTACTCAGAACAATCAAACATCTTTAAGTTTTTCGAGGTAAATTTGTATTGGGGTTTTCGGAGTTTGGTGCGAGCAATTCGGCGCTATTACCTTTTGCTGCTTCGTTTTCATCATTTGAGCTTGATTTTATCAAAAGATTTGTTGATTGCTAAGTCATGAACTTTGGATTGCTAGTAATTTTAAACTAATTTGTATGATCCGTTTTGTTTCCATAACTTAATCTGACTAGTTTCTTGATTATCATGGATTTTATCATTTCTGCAATAAGCTTTAACTGACTAGTTTTTGATAGAAAGGCTTATTATCGGCTATCTGTAATCTAATTTGAAAACAAAAACAAACGTCTTTATTCTTGGGTACAGATGAGTAGGCATCGAGTAAACATAATGAATAACAGATCAGTGTGGAAGATAAGTCCCTGTAAGATTAATATATACACACACACATACATATAAAAAAGCCTCTTTTTTCTTGACTTTTTCTATTAAGTCATTGTTTCTACAATAAGTCAAGTCATGTCTAAAAGAGAGCTCCCTATTCTTATGTTAGCTTCAATTTTCTGAATTTGGAAAGATCCCATCTTAATTGATTAGATCTTAAATCAGACATTTCCCTTTAAGTCCTACTTTCTTACAAGATTTCCCTCATATATATATTCTCAAATATATTCTTAAACATCATTTAAATCTTAACCTCTATAATTTTTTGATTTTAGAATGATGACAGCTTATACACTGGAGATGGTTCAGTTGATGTAAAAGGAAGGCCTGTTTTAAAAAGCAATACAGGCAATTGGAGAGCATGCCCTTTTATTCTTGGTATTTCATTTTGTGTTTTTTTATTTTATTTTATTTATCATTTTCATGCATTATGAAATATTAATAATAATACATATGTGAGTTGACTCAGGCAATGAGTGTTGTGAGAGGCTTGCATATTATGGAATATCTACAAATCTTGTGAGCTACCTCACTAAAAAGCTGCATGAAGGAAATGCTGAAGCTGCTAGAAATGTTACCACGTGGCAAGGCACATGCTATCTTACTCCCCTCATTGGTGCTGTGTTGGCGGATGCTTATTGGGGGAGATATTGGACTATTGCTGTCTTTTCAACTATTTACTTCATTGTAATCACATCCTCTTTTTAAACTTTTCACTTTCAATACACGATAGGATTAATGTCAATGGGACAAAAATTGTAACTTTTTTGTGTCACACAAAAAAGTGGGACATGGGTTTTGCTCTCGATTTCTTGTTTGTGCAAAAGACATGAATGCCCTTGTTATCCTTATCATGACAAATATCCCTATTAAGCTTGGAAAGGTTTTTTAGGGGTATTTTTTTATAATGAGGATGAGGAGGGCATTCACATCTTTTGCACAAACGATAGATTGAGAGCGAGTTCATGTTCCACTTGTTTTAGTTGGCCAAATTTTAATTTTCAAAATTTGTCCCATCGACATTTTTGCTTGTCCAAATTCAATGCATGTCAAACACAGTACAATGATGTAGATAAGGAGGGCATTCACGTCTTTTTGTCCCATTGATATCAACCCTAGTTTCAATCTAATGTATGTCAAATGCACTACTTTTTCTTGTATGAATAGGTTGCACTCATTAGGACAAAAATTGCACACCCAAAAACTATAAAGTATAACATGGACTTGCTCTCAATCTCTTTTGTGTGAAAAAGACGTGAATGCCCTCTCCATCTTCATTATAACAAGCTTTAATTGCAAAAATAGCAACCTACTTTTAGTAGTTTGTTCATTATAGAATCCTACTTTTTTTCTTCTATTACAACATTGTATCTTCAAAAACGTATCCAATATATAATAATACCATCATTATACAAACCAATTTCCACTTTTATGATTGGATAAAAAAATTGTAATGTATATTGTTTTAAAAGTACAATGTTGTTATATAACAAAACGAAAGTAGGATGCTATGATAAATAAATAAACAAATAAATGGAAGTAAGTCGCTATTTCTCACATGCTAACACAAACAAAACTTTATTTTGTTTCCTATCTTCCCCAAGGGAATGTGCACATTAACACTATCCGCATCAATCCCATCTTTAAAGCCCATTGAATGCGTAGGCCCCACATGTCCTCCTGCCACACCAAGTCAATACCTATTTTTCTTCTCGGGACTTTACCTAATTGCCCTTGGGACTGGAGGGATCAAACCCTGTGTCTCATCATTTGGAGCAGACCAATTTGATGACACGGATCCCAAAGAAAGGGTAACAAAGGGATCTTTCTTCAATTGGTTTTATTTCTCAATAAACATTGGGGCATTGATCTCAAGCTCTTTGATAGTTTGGATTCAAGACAATAAAGGGTGGGGCCTAGGGTTTGGGATTCCGGCTTTGTTCATGGGTGTTGCTATTGTAAGTTTCTTTTTGGGGACCCCACTTTATCGATTTCAAAAACCGGGTGGGAGTCCAATTACACGAATGGGTCAAGTTTTGGTTGCTTCGTTTAGGAAATGGAGCTTGCCCGTTCCCATTGATAGCTCGCTTTTGTATGAAACTCCCGATAAAGTGTCCGCGATTAAAGGGAGTAGGAAAATTGGTCATACCGATGAATTGAAGTAAGTCCTTTTTTTTTTACTCAAAAACTTAGTTTGGTTGTGAAATTTTTTCCAGTTTTCCATGAAAATTTTCAAATGAAAATAAAATTTTTGAAAACCATTTGGTTTATTAAATTTTCAAAAGAAATGAAAATTTTCTGTAAATTAGAAAAGTGATTTTTATAGTTTTCCAAAGTTTTCTAAATTTCTAAAATGGAAAATGAAAACTCCATGGGTTTCAACTAACATATCTTCTAAAATTTTTATTGAAAACCGAAAATGAAAACTAAACTCTATTTTCTGAAAACATTTTCTTGAAAAATGAAAACAATTTTCCACAACCAAACGCACTGCGTTTGGTTGTGAAATATTTCTTTTATCTTCTAAAAAACATTTTAAAAAAATAGAGTTGAGCTTTCATTCTTAGTTTCCAATGAAAATTTTAGCAAACGCGTTTGGTTGGAACCAATGGAGTTTTCATTATCTGTTTTAGAAATTCAGAAAACTTTGAAAAACTGTAAAAACCACTTTTCTAATCCACACAATTCGGAAAACAGAAAATTTCCATTTTCTTGCAAAAGTTTTGAAAACTGAACCAACAAAACTCGTTTTCAAAATTTTCCACAACCAAACACACTCTTTAACGTCTTTCATCCTTATATTTTTTTCACATGTTCTAATTATAATATTTTCATAAGGTTCCTCGATAAAGCCGCAATTCTCACACCACACGAAACCACAACCGGAAACTACTCAAACCCATGGAGACTATGCACCGTAACACAAGTCGAAGAACTCAAAATCCTAATCCGAATGTTTCCAATTTGGGCAACCGGAATCGTCTTCTCAGCCGTATACGCCCAAATGTCAACAATGTTCGTCGAACAAGGCATGATGATGGACACCAAAGTCTTCTCCTTCACAATCCCCGCAGCTTCTCTCTCCACTTTCGATGTCATAAGCGTCATCTTCTGGGTGCCCGTCTATGACCGCATCCTCGTGCCCGCTGCCCGAAAAATCACCGGGCAGGGCCGCGGCTTCACCGAGCTTCAACGGATGGGGATCGGCCTCTTCCTTTCCATTCTCTGCATGTCCGCCGCCGCTTTGGTTGAAATAAAGCGCCTCGATATCGCCGCCTCCCTCGGGTTAATTGACGAAAATACCCCTGTCCCGATGAATATCCTTTGGCAAATCCCGCAGTATTTCCTCCTAGGGGCGGCGGAGGTTTTCACGTTTATTGGGCAGCTTGAGTTTTTCTATGATCAGTCGCCGGATGCGATGAGGAGTTTGTGTAGCGCGCTTTCTTTGTTGACCACTTCGTTGGGGAATTATTTGAGTTCGTTTATTTTGACCGTGGTCACGGTGTTGACTACGCGAAACGGGCGGGCGGGTTGGATACCGGATAACTTGAATGAAGGGCATTTGGATCGGTTTTTTTGGCTTTTGGCGGGGCTTAGTTTTTTCAATATGGTGGTTTATATCTTTTGTGCCAAGATGTATAAGTCGAAGAAAGCGGCTTCTTAGGTTTGGTTTAGGTGCTTTTATACAAAAAACATTTTCGTTTTCATTTTGTATAAAACAATGATATGTTTCTGGTACTTTTTACATCCAAGTTGAATTTTATCAAAACCAAAGTTGTTAGAAACAGTGTATTCGCAAATCAAGGTATTTCACAACATCTTTTGATCATAATCGTACATTACCTTGAGTCACTTTGATGCATAAGGTAAAAACTTTCAATATTGTTTCTGAATCGATAAATACGACAGACGTAGAAAGTGCAAGGATGAAAAACCCGTAGTTTGTCCCGGACCGTTTTTTTTTCTTCATGTTTTTATGAAAAAATGTAAAAGTTTTGACTGCAAGGATCAGAAGTTTCAAAACGGTTAAAGAATTAAAGGGGTATGAATTAGTAAATTTTTAGAAATGAGATCAAAATTGTTAAACCGTTAAAGTTTTGTGGTCGAACTTTAAATATTAAAAGGTTTTTAAAAAGTATAAAAATATTGATTGCAAGGACCAAAAATATCAAAATAGGTAAAGAATGAGGAGCAAAGTGCAGGATCATTTTTGCCAAAAAAATATCCACTTTACTATTCCTAAGCTTCATCCCTATTCTAATTCTAATATTCTAATTCTAATAAATGAATAGTTTTAACCTCCATTTGCCAAGTGTCATTCTCATACAACACCCTCATTAATATTATGTCATTTGTTATGTACATATATTAGGCAACACACTTCAAAATTCAAATTTACATTTTCTAATTATATGTTAATTATTAAGTTATTATAACTTTAAAAAATTTGATATATCTCTTAATTAATAATTAATAACTTATTTAAAATTATTTAATTAAAATAATTGATTAATAATTATTAAATTTTATTATGAATGTTTAATTAATTTTGTAATCGTGGATACCACGGGTTATATATATATATATATATATATATATATATATATATATATATATATATATATATATATATATATATATATATATATATATATACCTTAATAAGCATTTAGCATGTTTTGCTGAATTTTAAGAGGTATAAATCTTTACTACATATTTACAATCATTTTATGCATTGAAAAATATATGGTAAATATTTGACAAAGTCAAGAAAGCTCTTATTGCCTCTTATAATGCTTTATTGTTTTGACTTGACTCATTATCTTATCCCAACATTTCCTCGTATCTCGGTAGTTCTATTCATTGTTCATACAAATACACAATCATATAGATGCTCCTCGTCACTCCCTCTTCACATTGATCTGGCATGGCTCTCTCTAGAAACCCTACCCGTCGACCTTTATCTCCCATCTTCGGATCTTCCCATGGTAGAATTTTGATAACCTTAGCGTGCCTCCTTCAAGTCTCCGCCATCATCACTAAACCCCACCATCTTTGCTTCAGCCGCCCACTGCCACCACACCACCATCACTTCACATATTTTCCCTCCTTCAAGTCCCTTGCTTTGATTTTGAATTTGTTTTCCTCATTTTTAGCCAGATGAATCGGTAAACACCAACTACACTTCATATAACCAACTACACTTTATATAGCGTCTCCATATAAAGTCTCATCTCTTACTGTTCGGTCACAAGCGCACACCAGAAACCACCCAAATCCGCCAACACCACCGAATTTGATGCTGAACAACACCACCATTTAGCGTCATCATAGTCACCATTGTCACTCACGAACACCACCTAAACAGACTCTCTACCTTCTCTTATTACTATCATTTTCTTTGTACTCTGTCGATACCAGAAACCATAAAGAGCATATTTCGGTGAACCTCATAATTGTTGAAATCTATGAAATGATTTAATTTAGTATTAAAAAATTGAAGAGGAAGAAGGAAGACATCAATGGTTCCAAAAAAGTGGCATTCATCTCAGTGTGATGAAAGATGAAGAATTTAGTCAAACCACCACTACCATTACCACCGTTCACAACCAACAAAACCCGAAGATGAAGAGATCGGTCAAAGAGAGTTTCTTACGCTAAGGACTTCGACTTTTTATGGTAAATTGGGCAAGATTAGGTTGTTTCTCTTTTTTTTTGCTTGATGGTAGATGCTTTGATATTTTGTTATTTTGTACTGTGAAAAATTTGTACATAGATGAAATGTTGTATATTTAGACCTTGAATCCTATATTTTCGTTATGCTTCAGGTAGATATGAGATTAGGGGTTTCAATTTTTTTTCCCATGAATCTTCTCTTTGCAGGGGTTTCACTTTTTCTTAAATTTGTAATTAGGGCTTGCAGAACACCAATAATGTGTTTCATTTAAATGGTAGTAGGTTGGTTTACGCAATGGTCCTTTTATGATTAGGGCTAAGGTTTATGGGTTAATGGTTTCAGTATGTGGGAGATGAGGGCAATGGTCCTTTTATGATTAGGGCTAAGGTTTATGGGTTAATGGTTTCAGTATGTGGGAGATGAGGGTTAGAATTTGAGCCGAATCATATATTTTGGGTTCAACCTCCTTTCTCTCATAATTTTGAATGTTTTTTTTTTTTATTTGAACCTCTTTATAAAATTCAAGGTTTTATATTTTGAGTTCTTTTTAAGATCCATGGGTGAAAGGGAGTCAAAGTAAGAAGGGATTTATCATCTTGACTGCTTTTGTAAAGCATCCAAACTATGTTTCAGATATATATTTAATTTGTGTGAGTTAGCTTTATGAGCTTTGGTACATAAATTACATGATTATTGTCCTTGCTGAAATCAAGTTATATCTACCCGTTTATTGGGCTCACTTGCAATAACCCATTTTAGTGATTCCATATTCTCTTTTTGTTCTAATTACAAATACAATTGCCGATTTTTTATGCTTTTAAATTTTTTTTGGTGAGTTACCTAACATATTTAAGTAGAAAAGATTGTTTCAAGTTATGACAATTATGCAAAAAAATTAACGCAAGTCTTCCGACCTTAAATCATATTATTGTATTAAGCATATCTTAACATATTTTTCTCCTCGGCTAAGTTTTAAAGGGTTGTTTTATATCTACACATATGTCGTATGTTTGATCCGTTATCTTTACTATTAAAAAACTTACGTAATCAAACTATAGTTTCTCAATAACTTAAATTTACTTTTAATTTTTTATAATTAATTTAGTTTAACGTTATGTTGAAGTCGATAATTAATTATTTATGGTAATTATATTAAAAAGCACAAGCTTTTTTCTATTTATGGTAATATATTTCAAGATTAAACATTTTATCATTTTTATGGTAATAATTGACTAGTTGTTTTATACTAAACTATATGATACCATAGGACTAGGGACCAAAGTTGTAACATTTTATTATCCTTTAGTTAAAATTTCTAATATTTGCAAAATTGAACAATTTTTTGAAAATTTATATCGAAGTTAAAGGGTAAGAGAAATTACAAATTTTGTTATCGTATATAATTTGTTTTAACTTTTCAAGTGCAAAATGATGATTATTAAAAAATTGAAAGTTAGGTTGTGTGACAACCCGATATTTCAACTACATGTAAACGACCTAAAAATTCAAATATTGTAACCACGTTAGTTGTAATAAAATTTACTTCGAAAATAAAATATCCAAAAATCACTAATTAAATTACCTTTTATGATAGATATCACTAAACCGTGATCGTACGTAAAAAGAACGCTCAAATCCGACTTCGTATAAGAAAGTTAGGAATTTTTCACGTTCGGCTTAACGGCAGATGGCTAAAAACTCGAATCACAGATCGAACGACTTTTGACCGGAATGACCTAAACGAGAATCGAAGGTCTCAACAATGGTATTTCAGCGGTAAAAAGTCTTGCAAAAACCGACGTCAGATAAAGAAGTTATCAATTTCTAAAGAAATTTTCTTACCGCGACCTTTAAAAAATAAATAATAAAAATAATTTCGGAATTTGCCGATGAAATCTAAAAGAAAGTTGTAGAGTATGGTCTCACCTTCGCGGGATATAAAGAACATCGAAAACGGAGTTCGTATGAAGAAGATACGATTTTTGAAGTTTATTAAATAATTTATATATAAATTTATTTAAAAATTCTTGGTATTATCCGAAGGGGAGTCACCAGATAGGGCCGAGTTACGCCCGCGTAACCCCGTACGCCCAGCGTACGCGAGGCCTTGGCCTCGGTTCGTCCACGTCGCCCCTATGCGAGCTATCCCGACCCGTCCCATCCGAAGCCGAGGCAGTTGAGGACTCGGTCAAGCATGACCCATGAGTACGCCCACGTACCGAGGCCTCTCAGCCCCCTATAAATAGAGATGCGAGGGTTCCGGGAAAAACACCCCGTTTCTCTCATTTCTCTCACGATCTTGCCTCGTTTTCCGTGCCCGCACTACCCCGAAGCCCCGATCACTTTGCTCAAGTCCCGAAGGTCGTTTGTGCCCCGAGATTCCCGAGAATCCGAGGAAATCCACTTTCGCGAGCCGAAATTCTGTCCGGTTTTCATCCCGCAACCTCCGATCTTACAAGTGAGTTCATACCCCTATAATTCACACTTTTAAATGTTTTATGAGTACTTTTACATGCTTTTAAGGGGGGGAATACAAGTAAAACACTCGATTATTATCGTGTGTTATATAAACTTTCACTTACGCGTTTTATCAAAGGAATCATATGTGATTTAAACTATTATAAAGGAAACTTTCATATGCAAATTATACCACGACAACATTTTATCTTTTGAAATGAGAAACGATTTATGTATTTATATAAATCAGATACTTGCTTATACTACATTTCTGTGTGTCGGTTTTGGCACTACAAAAACTACACTTTTCATAACAAGTGAACATTTTCACTAAGGGTTTATTATACAAAAAACACACTTTTAGGAAACTATAATAGGTATAGTTTTACGAGAATACTACGAACTTTTACATACATGGAAATACTATTTCAAGAAGCTACTTTCATATACAATAACGAACGAACGTTTTCACACGTAAATCTGTTTTATACTAAGTTTTGTGAGACATTAACTTCACGTACGTTCGAGTACACATTTCAAGTCCTGTATTATATACCAGAATCCCTTGGAGGGGGAGCATGGTGTTTGTGTATAGATCTATACGGGCTTGACAACCCGCGCCCTGACTGTTAGCTACAGTCCACCATTTGGGGTGACAAACGTCAGAACATTCCAACGCCTGAAGAACGTTGTGTATAGGCATTCCTTGTCAATA